CCTCACGGGATGGGGGTGGAGCCGGGCCTGTCCTCCCCACCCCAACGAGACCCCAAGTCATTGCCCACGAACGGCTTCTCTAGCTCCTGATCAAGCTGCTCAACGGCCATTATCCCAGAGACTCGGGAGCAAATCTCAAAACCCAGTGGCTTTTGGCAGAAATCCCCCAGATTTAAGTGTTAAAATTTCGGAATTTCAAAATCATATGGCCCTACTGCAGCCACGCGACATCATATGTTATTCATAACCAGCAATAGAACACAAATTGTCTACTGTTACCTTTTCAGCAGATCTGAGTGTTGGGGTAAAATCTCAAACAATAATGGTGGGTCTGGTGTCGAAATATTGAATGTGATCAAAGTAGATAGAGAGTAATGTGGAAATCATCTGCCCCACAGGTAGGGGGAGGGTGTGGGATGGGGGAATACTGGGGTTTTTGGTGGTGGAGAATGGGCACTAGTGAAGGTACGGGTGTTTCATTGTATGACCAAGACTTAGACCCGAAAGCTTTGTAATTGCTTTCACAGTGATTTAATAAATAAAATTATAAAAAATGAAAAAAAAGCAAGGTGGAGTTCATGCACAATTCAATCAGCTAATCAGTGGCTGAATAAATAGCAGTACTCCTACATAAAAAAAAATATTAAAGGATTTTGGAGACATAACTAGCACCCCTTTTATAACTGCAGAGCTTACCTGGAAGTGCTCAGGGGCTGTTTTTGCCTCTGTGCATAGAAGCAACCCTTGCAGTGATGAGAGACCGTAAGTGGTCATAGCGATTCGAATTGGCATCAGCCACATACATGTAAGGAGCCTATATCTCCTGCCCATCTCTCCAGCTTGCACCTGTTACTTAGAACAATCATTTTTAGCTACATAATCATTTTGTCCTCGGTGGACATCTGGCAATAGCTGGAGTCATTTCTGTCCCAATTAGGGGACAAATAGGATGTTACCAATCTAGTGGGCAGAGGCCAGAAATGCTGTTAAACATTCTACAATACTCATACAGTTCCCACTAGTAAGAACTACCCAGATGACAAAACTGTCCACAGTGCCGAGGTGAAGAGATCCTTCTTCAGGCTCAGGATGCAACAAGTGCTAGAAAGCATCATGACTCCCATGTGGGAGGTCTAGGTTGAAGAAGGCACCCAGCCAAAAGCACAACAGTACCATACGTCAGACTTGTATTCACTTTGAGCAAATGCAACAGGAAACAAAAGCATAGCAGATGGAGCTGTACCATTACCTTCATTAAGAGACATTGTGGAGAGCCTAGCTTCTTCAACTGTCACTTGGAATGCGGACGCTACAAAAAACTGGTAACCATAAAAGGTTTCTGAACACACAACAACCAGAAATTAATTCCATATCGAATGCACACTCAATCAAGTTATTTCTGGCAATACTTACCCATGTTGTGTTAAGGAAAAGGGGGTCATGAGTGAAAAAAAAAACTTGAGCAGCACTGGTTTGGGGGCTGGGAAGATGACTCTAAGGGATAAAGAAGGCAGGGCATAACCCCAGGAGTAACTCCACACCAAGAGTAACCCCAACACCACCAAAAAAATTTGTAATCAAGTGAGCTTCTCAAGACGGAAACCCGGTGGACTCATCCACTCAACCACAGACTAGACCAGAGGTTTCTAACCACCAGGTGGAGGAGTGGTGCTGGTTGGCAGATGTACAAAGGCTGAAAACCCTTGGCAAGATCTCAAGAATCTGAAGGGTCTCAAGGTTGACTGCACACTAGAATCACCTGAACAGAACTCAAAACTACTGAAGTTGGGTCCCACCCTCAGGATTGATGCTGATACCACTGTTGTGTCTGTGGTCTGCCCCTCAACAATGTCGCTGGAATATCAAAGTCATTAAGCATTCTTTTGTTGTTGTTGTTGTTCTTGGTAGTGCTCAGAATTAATCCCTGGGCCTCGCATATGCAAGACAAATGCTGTATCACTGTGGTACACATCAGGCCCAAAATTAAGATTAAACGTTCTCCAGTTGAAGAAAATATGCAGTTCTTTTATTACAATTATTTCCCACTAACCAGAACTTTTGGGTGTTTCATGAAAAAGGTCCTATCCCCCAAATAAAAGCTCTCCCAGTGACTCAAATACAGGGAGTTTGAGAGACTCCATCAAGGACCCTCAAACTTTTCCCTCTCCCAATCCCTTTCCCCTGTCCAAACCATCTCCAGTTCCTCCAGTTCCGGGTTAAAACCCTGATCCTGAATTCAGTTTTGGTGTTTGCTTATTCAGAAACCTTTTACTGGTGCCAAAATTTTGGCAATCCCCAATTCAGTTACGTGATCCTACTTGAACTGATGCCCTACAGTCTAAGAAGCTAGGAACTGGAGAACAGTCTGTCCAGGGAAAGACAGGCAGGCTCCTCTCAAATTCCTGGTGAGCGGAGGCTAGGAGCTGTATGTGCTTCCTACAGGCAACATATCCCTGGAGAAAAACAAAGCTGGAGTCAATACTAGAGCATCCACAACACCCAAACTATAATATGTAGAATCTTTTTGCCTTCAGGCCACACCTGGCAGTGCTCAGGACTTAATTCTGACTCTGTGCTCAGGGACCACTACTGGAAGTACTCAGGGAACCACATGGGGTACCAGGAATCGAACCTCAGTCACCATATGCAAGGCAGTGACATAATCTCCATACTATCACTCTGGCCCTAATAGGTACATTTTCTAAAAAATGAGCTTGCCAAGGAGGGAGGTAGTGGGTGGAGGCTGTGGTTCACCGGTGGTGAGTTTGAGTTTAGTGCCAGAAACTCATATGACCAGTTTCGTAAATCACAGTGCCTAGATTTTAAAACGAAAGAAAACACAACAGGCGGTAACTATACATCAAAACTATAAACATTAACACCAGTGTAACCATGTTACCTTAACTAGGAAAATATTAAAAAGTCTAAAAAATAGAAACTAAGCATGACATCTTACACCCATATGAAAGGGTGTAAAAGAATGACAAATGAGGATAACTACATGGTTTCACATCCCTCCAAAGGGAAAGAAACCAAGGGAGGGAAAGCAATCAAAACTAACCAGGGTCAGAAACAGTGATGTGGGGTAACAGGCTCTTTGGGGCTCCTGACATCTTAATGTTAAAACTTTGGCAAGTTTGCAAGTTAACTATAGAAATTATTTAGCGCTATACTACTGTCCTGTTGTTCATGGATTTGCTCAAGCAGGCACCAGTAACGTCTCCATTGTGAGACTTGTTACTGTTTTTGGCATATCAAATATGCCACAGGGAGCTTGCCAGGTTCTGCCGATAGAAGTTATTTACACCATCAGCAGAAGTCAGTTGCTGTTTTCTGGAAAATAAAGGTAGATGTATTTTGATGTAAAGACTAAAACTGAAGATGACTCAAGATCACAATGAAATAAAGCTAAAGTACTATCAAAAAATAAAAACCAGCCAGAGTAGTACCACAGGTAGGGTGTTTACCTTTCACACAGCTGATTCGGGTTAAAACCCTAGCACAACATATGGTCCCCCAAGCCCTGCTAGGAGTGATCCTGAGCACAGAGCCAGAAGTAAGCACTGAGCATTGTCGAGTATGACCCCCAAAAGAACAAAAAAAATGTTTTAATTAAGAAAAAATTATAGGGGCTGGAGTGACAGCACAGCGGGCAGGACGTTTGCCTTGCACACGGCCGAGCTGGGTTCGATTCCCAGCATCCCATATGGTCCCCTGAGCACTGCCAGGGATAATTCCTGAGCGCAGAGCCAGGAGTAACCCCTGTGCATCGCCAGGTGTGACCCAAAAAGAAAAAAAAAATTATAAAGACAGTAAGTTCAAATTCACGTGTACAATACACAAAAACCATAAAGGATGAAACACACACACCTGAGCATGACCGGGGATGTGTTCCAAGTGCCACCAGACTCCCAAAAAGAACTCTCACAAATTAGTAAAAGACAAGCATTAAAATAGCAAAAGTATTTAATTTACTAAATACAAGTGATATCAAAATAAATAAAAATCTAAAGGGACCAAGATTTCGGGTTTTGTTTTTAGTTTTGGAGTCACATCAGGCTGTGCGACATACTCTACTATTCCTCCAACTCCAAAATACCAAGTTTTGAAAAGGTAGAACCAAGTCAATGTTAGGAAGTATGTTAGGGGTACTATGAAAAACTGCTGGCAAAAGTTAAACTTGTCTTTGGCAAAATGACAACATATATTCCCTTGAACTCACATATTTATGAATTTACCAAAGAAAAATAAAAAACATATTTATGTAGAATAGTGTAACAAATAAGCTACAGATATTCTACTTAATAAAATATGCACACAGTAATGCTTAAAAATGTTCATTAAAAATTTTTCCCCCCAGTGTTTGGGCCACATCTGGCTCCGTGCTCAGGGATCATTGTGGGCAGGGTGTAGGGGAGTAATAACCGAGGGTTATTACTATAGGGTGCTGGAGTAATAACCCAGGCCAGTTGTGTGCAAGCAAGCATTCTACCAGCTGTGCTCTCTTCAGCCTTGTATTTAAATGTTTAAGTCTTAAAGCTGCAAAACAGCATATGTCTTCACACAAGACAGGGCATTTGGGATAAGCAAGTTTTTAAAAAATATGTAATGAAGATGTACTGAAAACGAAATATATTTAATTTTTCTGTGGCTTTATAATATACATGTATTACCTATATATCTTGCTAAAGTTTTTAATAGATTAAACAATTTACCTATATATCTTGCTAAAGTTTTTAATAGATTAAACAATTCAGTAGGAAACTTCTCATGACAAAGCATCTTTGAACTGAATTTAAAATTTCGTAATTTCAAGTTTAAGATAATTTCAAATTTAAAAAATTGAACTTTATCATTTTGTGTGGAACAACCTTGAAAATAATCAAGTAAATGAGGAAGCAAAAGAGCATGACAGTTAAGCAAGTGACAAAAAGATCACGATTTTGTTCCACTGATTATAGTATAAAAAGCAACATGACAATTAACCAAAAACACTTTATTTTAGTCTACAAAGAACAACCTCTTTTTTCTAATACAATAATGATTAACTTACAAAATAGGCATTTACATTTTTAAAGCGCTTCCCTTCAACGGGAAGCTTGGCTTCAATTAAATCCAAACACTGAAAATTTTTTGTCTTTTATTTTTTTTTAAAAAAGCATGTTTTATTGACATTATAACAAAACAGAATCCAACAAACGATAAGGACATCCATTCATACTTCAGGTCCCTCTCCTCCAGGAACCAGCTGCAGGAGGAAAAGGAACTTATTACCACCAACACCAGCAAGACCCAGCCAGCTACCTTCATGCTAACCGCGCCAGTGAGAGCTCCTCATAAGGTCCCTTTCACCTCTTTGCTCCTCCCTCCATTCCTATTTTCTCCAAGTCACTGCTGTTTACAATTCCAAACATCAAGTAATAGTCTGGACAATGATTCATAACAAAATAGAAGATCAGAGAGCCTTAAACACAAACTGATCTTTAAACCTAACACATCATCCTCAAAGCTATAGAATCCTAACCACCACAGAACCCCCTTTCTCAATCTTTTTTCCTTCTTTTCATGGTGCCAGAGATGGAACTCAGGGCTTCAGACAGACAGGGCAGGTGTACTACCACTGAGCTACATTACATCCCTGCCCACACTAGTTCTTACACTGAGCCATAAACATTTAGTCAAATTCTGCAATCCCTACCCTCAAAAATGGGATCCCATCTTTCCGGGCCTTACCATCGTTATGTTATTTCCGTTTAGCAAAATCTGATCTAATTTAGTAATTCTTCTTCCTTCTGGTGTAATTTCACTGAAATAAAGTATTGAAAGAGTTAAGATATGACAGTGTTAATCAAAGCCAGTATTTTATTTCCTAAAAAGAGCATGATTATATACAAATGAATGTTCAATTAAGCTGTTATAGCAGATTTTCAGAGGTACACAGCACACATCTGACAGAATCTTCCCCAAACCAACAGAGTGAACCTGACTGGTCGGTCTCAAATCCATATCCATTAGGACTGATCTTCATTGAGACCTGCTAAGGACACCAATGGTGAAATAAAATGTTTTCTAGTTTTACCAGTACTTAATGCTAATTCCACCAATATAATTAACCAATTTGACTTTGAAAACAGAGATGCCAGCTGTGATCCTTATAATTTATATGACTGGGCCATCATTTATACTATGTCACACAGTTAAATGATTTGACCTGAGCCCTAAGATTCCTGGCTAGTGTATGCAAATATCTTTAAAATCTGTTTTTAAACAAGCAATTGGTACTTTTATGAGTAATAACCCTCTAATTCTTTTACTAGCACCAGTTGATAAAACTTCATTGAGTTGATAATAACAAAATTGCATCAAGTTTTTAAAAAAAGATTCTGATTCTTTAATTTTTAACACTACTCACAATTCAGTGACATCTTCCAGTACCATATCTGAAATTCAGTGTTAAGAAAATAAACATAAACATACCAGGTTGAATTTATTTTAGCCTCTACCTTTTTTAGTTTTCAATTACAAAGTTTAAAACAGGGCTCAAATTCAAAGTGACTCATGGAAGATTTTATCTTCTTTCAGTACACCTCTTAGAAGACCATCAGCAAGTGTCCTTGGGGAGCCGGGATGATAGTAGACTGGGTAAGGAAGGTATATGAAAGGCATTTGCCTTGCACGCGGCATGGACCTGGGTATGATTCCCCATCACCCCCATGTGGTCACCTGAAGTAAGATTTCTGAGCGGAGCCAGGAGTAATTCTTGAACACTGCTGGTTGTGGCCCCAAACCCAAAACAACCACCAAACCCCCACGATCAGCAAGATTTTCCGAGGGAAAAATTTTCTCACCATAATCAGTACCAACTATGGACTGCTGTTGTTGCTGGGGGGAGTATATCTGGCACCAGGGATCAAACCCAGGAACCTTACACAAGGGACGCATCTATGATGCTAAGCCCCTTCCCCTCCCAGCACCACCACCCCACCACAATTTTCATTTCTGTTCTTAAATAAGAAAATCCCAAACCCCAACCAGCACCACTTCGGAAAGGATACTGACAAAGTCATCAAACCCTAAAAGCGTGCCAACAATTTCCTTATCACTCTTCATCACAATGTGAATTCTTGAGCCGATACATTTGTCCACAAGCTCTGTGGAAACATATTATTTTATGAGGGTGGAAAAAAACGATTTTACACATTATTTCATTTTTCATCTTACACATAGCACAGCGGGTACCAGGTTGGGGGCCGGGGGAGGGAAGTGAGGCGTTTGGGTGCGAGGCCACCTGGGTCAACCAGAAGTTCAATTCCTCCGCCCCTCTCGGGAGAGCCCAGCAAGCTACCATGAGTATCTCGCCCCCACAGCAAAGCCTGGCAAGCTACTCGAGAGGTATTCGATGTGCCAAACACAGTAACAACAAAGTCTCACACTGGAGACGTTACTGGTGTCTGCCCCAGCAAATCGATGAACAACGGGAGGACAGTGACAGTAACACATTATTTCATTATTGACACATTATTACACATTACTTGGGCGCTGGCTCACGTTCGTAGCACAGTCTATGTCTCACCACTTCAGGTCTTTAAAACTCAGTTCTCTGCTCAAATGCTTAGCCAGAGACCGTTTCCCCCGCTTCGGCACTTGCCTCCTCCGGCAACCAGGCCTGGGGGTGGGGTGTGAGGGTGTTTGTAGCGACTGAAACTTAAGGCGGGACCCCTCTCAACTCTCACTCTGTGAGGGCACAGACCCGGGTTGCTTTTTCACCCTATGACCGCTCGCAGTGTCCGCTCCACAAGGGGCATGTGCCACGCGCGTGTCGGAGGGAGAGGCGAGGAGAGTTTCCGTCAGGGCGGTCTGGGGGCCAGCCGGGCGCGCGCCCTCGAAGGCGTGAACGACCAACACGCAGAACTCCGGCTCCCTCTCTCACGGCGCCTTCCAGGACGCGGGGCTTCTCTCAGACACCCGCGCGGGTGAGGCCCCCCGAGGCGTTGGCCCGGCGAGGCGTCGCCCACGAAAGCCGGCTCCGGGCAAAGCCGCGTCTCGGCGCCACAGAGAGCGGCGCGTCCTGACGACCGGGCCGCCCGCACCTGAGGCGTCGGGCGTCGCCACGGCAGAGGCCTCGCGCCCGAACGCCTCACTTCCCTCCCACGGCCCCCAACCCGAAACGCCAGCTCCCCGCCCCGCCTCCACGGGAGACAACGGTTACCTAGAGGCAGCAGCTGAGACGGGTTGGTGGTCGCGTTAGCCGCCATGGCCACGCCGGAAGTGACCTGCGCTCCCCGACGCCGAGACGGCGGGTTTGAAAGAGCGCGCTTCCGCCTTTGACTCCGCCCCTCCGCGGCAGGCACGACCAATCTGAGGCCGAGCGGGCGATTGGGCCAGTCCCGGGCGATCGCGCTGCCGATTCCTTTTCCTGCAGAGGGAGTGGGGAAGTATTTTGCAGGCAAGCAATCGACTGCGATCTCCCACGGGTAGCCTCTCTCTTCTCGAAGTGTCCAAGACATTACAGATATCCTGTTGTGTGAATAACTTATTCCTCCAATCCGGAAGGCTTTGCAAAATGTAAAAATCTGTAAATCGCTTTTGTTTCCCTCTAAATTTGCATCTCCTCTCAATCCAAGATCTTTCAGCCCTGCATAAATTATTTCGGCTTTTCCCGATAGACCCATTCCGTTGTCATTTCGTAACATTTAATTAAGTTAAATCTACTGCTTCTTTGAAAGTTCCACAGGACTGGAAACTCACAATCAGCACTTAAGCAGTCTTTCAATGATATAAAACGTTTCTTTTAAAATTTTATTTAAGTCACCGTTCTCATATTGACAGTCTGTTTATTATAGACTTTTTGTATTCATTCTTTCATCAACTTACTATCTAATGTGGTTATTGTCTAACAATCTATTATCTGACATGCCGCCACCAGATGTCACTCTGGGGTAGTCATCACGCTTATAGAACCCTTAATGCCTTCATGGTTTGAACGAGAAAAAAATTCTCTGCTTTGTCTCCTTTTCATTTGTATTCCAGAAACTTAGGCAAGTGTCTAAACAGGAAGTGCCATACAGAATATCATTTATTCATACAACCAATCAACCAGTTGTAAAGTACCCATCATTCATTTATTGAACAAATATGTATGAGTAGCACCAAGCTTACAGGCATCTTGCCAAGTATATAACAGTGTGTACAAGATCTTTTGCATTATAGGAACTTAAGGATGAATAAGGGAGAAAGTCAGCTGGCATGTATTATGTACAAGTGCATGAGATATAAAGAAACCTTTAAAGTTTCAAGAATCCTGGAGAATTAGGTCTGACTCAAGGCAAATATCAGTGAAAAGGTTCAGAAGCTTTTAGTTCAAAAAACTTTTAGTTTAAGTCCTTTAGTTCAAAGTCCCCTAGAGTTCAGCGACTCCTAAATAAAAATTGAGCTAGGAGGCTGGAGGGATAGCACAGCAGGTAGGGCGTTTGCCTTGCACGCGGCCAACCCAGGCTCGATTCCCAGCATCCCATATGGTCCCCAGAGCACCACCAGGAGTAATTCCTGAGTGCAGAGCCAGGAGTAACCCCTATGCATTGCCGGGTGTGACCCAAACAGAAAAAAAAAAAAAGAAAAGAAAAAAGAAAACATTTAACTTTAAAAAAAATAAAAGTTGAGCTATTTTTTAAAATAACAATGTGACTTTTGTTCATTTCATAAATATTGAGCATGAGCACCCACTCTATACCAGGAAACTTAGAAATACATTCACTCTTTTATATAGAAATATATGTGGGATTAGCCAGAGGTTTAGATGATCTCAATTTTGTTAACAACACCAAAGGAGCTAGCCAGACATAAGGCTAGCCTTCTTCCCTCCATCAGGTCTAATGAGGTTGTCGACCTCGGCTACATCAATGTCATAAAGCTTCTTCACGGCCCGCTTAACCTGGTACTTGTTGACCTTGATATCCACAATTAACACAAGTGTGTTATTGTCTGTTTTCATAGCTGAGTCAGTGGTCAGAGGGAAATTGATGATGGCATAATGGTCAAGCCTGTTTCTCCTGGGGGCGCTCTTCTGAGGATAACTGGGCTGTCTTCTCAGTCCTGGTGTTTTGTGTCTTTGGAAAGTGGATGTGGTGCGGATCTTCTTTTTGTTAACAGTGGACGCCTTTCAGCGCTGTTTACTTGGCCTTCAAAGCTTTGACTTTGGCTTCAGCTTTGAGTGGGGCAGGGGCTTCTTACTTGGCTTTCAGCGCCATCTTCCTACATTCACTCTTTATGATCCTTTGAGATAGATGCTATGATAAAAATTCCTCATGCTCGGATAGGTTAAGTGACATGTCTAACCACTGGCCACATCACTTGGGAAATTTTTACAAAAGGATTTACAGGAATCTAGTCTTGAAAAATGAATAAAGCTTGACTAGGAAGGAACTGCATTCTAAGTAGGAGGAACACTATACAATTGGCATGTGTCCACCTTCAGACGTCTCTTGCTGCACTTTAACTGAATCTTATCTACTTCCCTAAGTTTGACATAAAACACTGAAGTCTTGGCTAAACCTGAAGAAACAAGACCACCTAATATGGTCTTAAAAAGACAAAGTGACCTCTCATTGATAATTGGATTAGACAAAACTCTCTCGCATTGTGTTCATAAACTGCTCTGCTGAGGCAATAAGTGCATTGCTACTGTTTTTGTGGAAAAGAAAAGCAAGAAGAAACACATTTCTCATATCTATTGGTGCTTTCCATTTGCCTTCAAGTTCAGCAGCAGAGCACAAGACCTGTTACAAAAGGGGGCCAGCGAGGTAGTACAGCAGGTAAGGCAAGCACCTCACCCCCTGTAAGGCTGGCCCAGGTTCAATCTTCAGAACCCCATATGGTCCCCTGAGCCCACTGGAAGTGATCCCTGAGCACAGAGCCAGGTATAAGCTCTGAAAACTGCCAGGTATGGCCCCAAAATAAAACAACAAACAAAAGACTTTGCCCATAAGTTACAAGGAAGAGATGCACAGAAAAGAAAAAAAAACACCCATCCTGCAGGCAAGACCAATATTCTGTTTATTGGGAAACTGGCCTTTAGAATTTCAAGAAATAAAAGAGAAGTTTCTAACCCCTCTTTCTACCTTTATAAACGTTCTCTAAAACAATGGAAAATAATGAGTATTAACACCTACATTCCTCTTTCGTGCACCTTCATTTACAGTTCCTTTTTACACATATACTATTGTGCCAATTCTTGTCTTGCTCTCTCTCCTCCCTTCCCTCCCTCCCTCCCTTCCTCCCTCCCTCCCTCCCTCCCTCCCTCCCTCCCTTCCTTCCTCACCTGGAAGTACTCAGGGTTTATTCCTGGTTCTGCACTCAGAGATCACTCCTGGCAGGGCTCAGAAGACCACATGAGGTGCTGGGGATAGAACCCTGACTGGCCACGTGCAAGGCAAGCACTACTGGTTATACTATCCCCTTGGCCCCAGTATTTGCCTTTCCGATGTACAGTGCAGCAGACGAACATTCAGCTTCAATGCTTCACTTCCCAAAAGTTTTACCTTAAAAAACCCTATACCACAGTGACTTTCATGTTTAAAGGATGATTTACTCCTGAGTTCTGATAGAATTTCATTCATCTTTCAAGACCTTATTCAAATGTGACTTCCTAGATGAAGCTTCTCTGACTTGCAAACACTCATTGCCCTCCAATAATATGAATGACTCTCAGATTTGGCGTGTATTCTTTTGCAGTTATCTATGGAGGGTGTTACCTATCAAAAAAAAACTGGAATTACTCAAAGTCAAGCATTTTGGTGGTTTTTTGGGGGGAGGATGGGAAGGTAGGTAAGAGAGTGTTGGGACACTCAAAACTTTCTCCTGATTGCTCTGAGACTGCTTTTGGTAATGATAGGATTGAACACAGATCAGTCACATGCAAGAAAATCACCTTACCTGCTGTACTATCTCTTTGACCCCCAATATCAAGAATTTTAGTGGCCAGAAAGATAGCACAGTGGGTAGGGCACTTGCCTTGCATGAAGCCAATTTTGGTTCAATCCCAAATGTTATTGCAAATGGTCCCCCAAGCACTGCCAGGAGTAGTAATCCTTGATCATCACAAGGTGTGGCCAAAAAAGTAAGATCAAAATGAATTAAAGACCTCAACATCAGACCAGAAACCATAAGGCACATTGAAGACAAAGTTGGCAAAACCCTCCATGACATTGAAGCTAATGGTATCTTCAAAGATGCCACGCCACTGGCCGAGCAAGTGAAAACAGAGATAGATAAATGGGACTATCTTAAACTAAGAAGCTTCTGCACCTCCAAAGAAACAGTGACCAAAATACAAACACAGTCTACAGAATGGGAAAGGATATTCACCGAATACACATTTGTCAAGGGGTTGATATCCAGGATAAACAAAATACTGGTTAAACTCCACAAGAAGAAAACATCCAACCCCATCCAAAAATGGGGCAATGAAATGAACAGAAACTTTCTCAAAGAAGAAATCCGAATGGCAAAAAAGCACATGAGAGAATGCTCTACATCATTAATCATTAGGGAGATGCAGATCAAAACCACAATGAGATACCATCTCACACCTCAGAGACTGGCCCACATTCAAAAGAACAAAAGCAACCGATGCTGGCGTGGATGTGGCGAGAAAGGGACACTCCTTCACTGTTGGTGGGAATGTCGACTGGTTAAGCCCTTCTGGAAAACAGTATGGATGATTCTCAAAAAATTAGAAATTGAGCTCCCATTTGACCCAGCAATACCTCTCCTGGGAATATATCCCAGAGAGGCAAAAATGTATAGTCGAAGGGACATCTGCACTTGTTTGTTCATTGCAGCACTCTTTACAATAGCCAGAAACTGGAAGAAACCTGAATGCCCAAGAACAGATGACTGGCTAAAGAAACTTTGGTACATCTACACAATGGAGTACTATGTAGCTGTTAGAAAAGATGAAGTCATGAAATTTACATACAAGTGGTACAACATGGAAAGTATCATGCTAAGCGAAATGAGTCAGAAAGAGAGGGATAGACATAGAAAGATTGCATTCATCTGGGGGATATAAAGTAACAAAATATGAGATTAATACCCAAGAATAGCTGAGATCAACACCAGGAGGATTACTCCATAGCTTAGAGGCCAGCTGGGCATTCTAGGGGAAAGGGCAGCTCAGATAGAGAAGGGAGCACCAAATAAAGGGTGTTTGGAGGATCCTCCCAGGAGGGGAGATGCATGTCGAAAGTAGACTATGGACTGAACATGTTTGCCACTCAATGCCTCTTTTGCAGACCACAACACCCAAAACGAGAGAGAGAACACAGGGGATTGCCCTGCCACAGAGGCAGGGGAGGATGGGGGAATGGGGGTGGGGGGGATATTATCCATGGTGGTGGAAAATGGGCACTGGTGGAGGGATGGGTATCTGATCATTGTATAATCGAAACCCAAGCACAAAAAATTGTAAATCTACAACTGTACCTCATGGTGTTTCACTAATTAAAAAAAAACAAAATTAAAAAAAAATTAAAAATTAAAAAATTTTTTTAAAAATTTTTAAAAATTTAAAAAAAAGTTTTAGGAAGTTGAAGAATACAGAGCTCAACTCCATTGGTTTCAGCTTTGTTTCTTAGTCAATCAGGATTTTCCCCCTTTCTTCTCCTTCCCTTTATTTTGTGGTGATATCCAGAGGTTGCACTTGGTTGTTGTGTTCGCACACTAAATTACAGTGCTCATTGAAGATTTCACAGTTGCTATGGGACTGGGATTCCTATTTAGTGATGTGGGATGGTGCTGGGGATTGAATTTAAAGCCACCCTCATGGCTTCATTTCTGTAAGGCAGGCCTCTACCACTGAACCACAGTCCCAGGACCTAACTGTCAGTTCTGAAGTCACATGACTTTAGTTCAAATTCCATCTCTACCACAATTTTTCTAGTTATTTGATGTTGGGCAAAACTGTCCATAGTCATTTGTAAATAATGATTTGCAGAGTAGAAAAAGTAAGAATAATCATATCGACTCAAAACTTTAGTTGGAGATTAAATGAAATTATTCATGAAAAGGGTCAGCAGGCATACAGATTGCTATTTAAATGTGAAGTTTTTGTTAGTTATTTTTGTTTCTTAATACCTGAAGTGATGGATGGCTTAAAGTAGGTGCTACAAAAGCTAACTTGTTAAACATGTATCCCAGTCCCATAGCAAGTGTGAAATCTCCAATGAGCACTGTAATTTAGTGTGTGAACACAACAACCAAGTGCAACCTCTGGATATCACCACAAAATAAAGGGAGGGAGAAGAAAGGGGGAAAATCCTGATTGGCTAAGAAACAAAGCTGAAACCAACGGAGTTGAGCTCTGTATTCTTCAACTTCCTAAAACTTTTTTTTTAAATTTTGGTTTTTTGGCCACACCTTGTGATAATCAAGGATTACTACTCCTGGCTTTTATTTTATTTATTTATTTATTTATTTGCTTTTTGGGTCATATTTGGCGATGCACAGAGGCTACTCCTGGCTCATGCACTCAGGAATCACTCCTGGTGTGATCCTCGGGGGACTATATGGGATGCTGGAAATCAAACCTGGGGTGGCCTCCTGCAAGGCAAATGCCCTCCCCGCTGTGCTATCGATCAAGCCCTAACATCCCCCCATAAATATTTTTGACTCTCACTATTTCATTCCTACCCATCAATGTTCTCACTCTTCATAAAATTCTAAAGGCAGAGCAATGCCAAGTTTGTTGTGAGCTTTTTCTTCTCCTTTTTCTCATCTCTTGTTTTGTTTTCACTTCAGTAAGGGACAATTCAAATAATTGTCATAGTTTGGTTTAAAATTCAGCAACATTTTCTTTAAGAAAGCCACTAACTTTTTCATTAGACCATCAAAATAAACATTAGCAATCTTAATCCTATTAATAAGGAATAAAGAAAGTTTTTATTCTCTGCAAAAGGAGCTATCTTTCTTATGCACCGTGGCGTCAATTGGGATTGCTGGGAGTGGTTTGATTCTATTATGTTCTTTTCTGAGAAAAGAAACAAAAAAGAAACCACAAGCCAATTCCAGATGGAGAATTCATTTTTTAATGAACTTGAAAATATGCCGTAGCTCTTTGTCTCCAGGGTTTTTCTCCCTTTCGGAGACATAAAGGATAACTACAAATTATGTGTAAGTGGCAGACTCTTCAGTATATCATGTGTTCAGAGAAGCACTTCCAATTTTTCCCTCGAGATAAATGTTCAAATACAAGCAAGTGGAAGCAACACCCCGGGAGCTGGAGGCAGGTGAGCCCAATCGCTCCCGGAGGCCCCGTAATCAACGCGGAGACTAGCATCCCTCTGGCGTCCAGCTCCGCTCCCCACCCTTAACCCCGTCCGTCCACAGGACTCCTCCCCTCCAGGCCCCGCCCCGTTTCTCAGACTCCGCCCTATCCCTTACTAGCACTCGCCTCAAGAGCCCCGCCCCCGGGAAGTCCCCGCCCACCCAGGCCCCGCCCCGCCCCGCCGGGGCCCTCCGGTGCAGCCCGCCCCGCCTCGCGGCCGCGGCCACCGCGTCAGGTGACAGCCCGGAAGCCGGGGGACGCGGCGCAGAGCGGGGCGGCCGCGGGGGGCGGCGCGGAGCGGTGGGTGCGCGGCCCTCGTGCAGCGCCCGAGCTGACACCTCAGGTCCGCTTGCTCGCCGTCCTCCTGGGGCTCGCCGGCCCATCCGCCCCGCCGGCCGCGGCGGTTGAAGACACCGTCTGGCCGGCCCGCCCTCAGCGGCCGCCCATGGAGAAGGCCGGGCGAGGCGGCGACGGCGCCCCCCGGGGCCCGGTCCTGCACATCGTGGTGGTGGGCTTTCACCACAAGAAGGGCTGCCAGGTGAGGAAGGGGGCCCGCGCGCGAGCGCTCCCCCGGGCCGGGGCTGCGGTCCTCGCCAGCCGGCGCGTCACGCCGCTCCCCGCCGCGCCTCAGCCTTCCTGCTGCCCCCGAGCTCGGGGCTTCCAGGCGGAGGAGTTCCGCGTTGACAGGCGGGAGCGGGAGGAAGGAGCGGGGGGGAGGGGGGTCGGCCCTGCCCCTCCCACCCCCTTCCCGTCGGCGCGGACGCTCTGAGCCCCCCCCCGCCCCCAGAACCCCCGCGCAGCCCAAGTGCGTTTTTTTCCAGGGGATGGGTTCCGGGGGCTTCCTCACAGACGCCCGCCGGGCTTGGCCGCGCGGCACACGCGGTTCCGTGGGAAAAATCCACTTCCTTTGTTTATGCGGGGACGCCCGGGGATCCGGGGTGCGGGCGGCGGCGCGTGGGCTCCGCAACCCCGCCCCCCCAGCCCCCTCCCGGCCCGGGTTTTGTTACTCCATCCGGCCCGGACCTGCCCGGATCCGGTGCCCCGTTCGGGATAGATAAATGCATTTACCTGGAAAGCGCGGTTGTAGAGCCGTCCCGGGTGAGTTTCCTCGCCCAGCCGCGGGAGCCCGGGCGCTCTGCTGCTCCCCGAGCGAGGCAACCGAATAGAAACCGGAATATTTCATGGAGAGCCAACCCTGGAAGGCAATGATGTCATGCTGTACTGGTGGTTGAACAATGCATCGAAAAGACTTCGCTGAAACAGACATGAATTTTTTTTTTAAGTACTGATTTCTGCCACTAGGTTATGTAGTATTCGGCGCCACGTTATTTCACAGCTTAAAACGTCGTATACTTAGCAGACGGGCCAAAGTTAAAGTTCGTTAGTGGATAACAAGAGAAAAGCGATACGGGGAATGAATGGAAAAGTGACCATTGAAGACTGCTTCATATTCTTGACTCTCAGGTTAAAAAAAAATGTTAGTCTTTGAAAGGCATAGACACCAAAGAGGAATTGGCATTATTCAGTGTATTTTTAAATACTCTGTATTTAAAATACAGAGTATAAAATACAGTGTATTTTTTTAAATAGCTGTAGTATAATGTAAGTTGGTTTTATGGTTTGTTTGTTTCTGTTTTGGGGCCACAAGAGGCTCTGTGCTCAGAGATCACTCCTGGGGCTCTGGAACCATATGGGATGTGGGGAATCAAACCCAGGACCGATCCTGTGCAAGACAAGTCAGCTGCATCATCACTCGGGTTGTGGTAAATTGTTTTTTTGTTTGTTTGATTTTGGCTTTTTGGGTCATACCCAGTGATGCTCAGGGATTACTTCTGGCTCTGCACTAATTCCTGGCGGTGTGCAGGGGACCATATGGGATGCCAGAGATCTAACCCAGGTCAGCCTTGTGCAAGCAAATACCCTGTCAGCAGTGCTATTGCTCCAGCCCCTGTAAATTGTTTAAATTGGCAACATTAGGGAAAAGACTGGATATTTGATACTGTGCCATGTACCATGGTATGTTAACATTGCACCATAGTTTGCTTTTTGGGTCACATTTGATGATGCTCAAGGATTACTTCTGGCTCTACACTCTGAAATTACTCCTGGGGGTACTTCGGGGACCATATGGGATACTGGGGATTGAACTCGGGTTGGCCTGTGCAAGGTGTGCAAGACATTCCCTTACCCACCATACTCTCACTCTGGCCCTTGAATATCTTTGATCTCAACAGCCTTTGTAACTTACTTTTAGATAGGACTGAAGAAACAGACTTGGAGGGAGTAAAATAATCTTTCTGAGGTCATGCTGTAAAACAGTTTTTTTTTTTTTTTAGTTACTTAGACTTCAGATTGCTTTTGGCACCATATGTGTTCATTCTGCTGGCCCTGTGGCATTTAAATCTTGCGGAAAAGAAAGAAGTGGGAGCCTGTGTCCCACCAACTGAATGTATTTTTTTGAATACAAAAAAGAATACTAGTAGAAGACAAAATCTCATACCTTTTCCTCTCATCAAAGGTCAGGATTATTTTTTTCTGTTGTTGTTTTTATAATATATATTTTTTCTGGCAGGCAGGGGAATCAAACCTGGGTCTTTCACATGCATGCAAAGTACAGTTCTCTCCTCTAGAGCCAACTCTCTTACCCAGTTATTTCAAACCTTTTTATTGGCAAAAGTGATGTCATTTTTATTTCCAAAGAAGAAGTACTCATTTTACATGTACATGATACAGGGCTGGAGTGACAGTTACAAGGCAAGTGCCCTGCATACATTTGGATCCAGCCCCACCAGGCCTGATCCCTGAATTCAGAGCCCTGAGTAAGCCTTGAGCACTGTTAAATGTGGCCCCAGACCAAAAACAAACAAAAAGTACATGATATTGCTTAGAGTTGAAAAAATAAAAAACCTGGAAAGGTGGAAGAGCTTTGGCCTCAAGATACAGTGCTACTTCTTGGCATTTCTCTGGCTTTTGATTTCAGAACAGAGATAAAGGTGAACTGCTTTTGTAAAATGAATACTACATTAGGAGTAAGGAGTCTGTTTCACACAGTTCCTATGACCTGTAGCAAGTCCAAATTGCTGAATTGTTTCTGTATATTATTTTCCTGTACCAGATATTTTGGTTTTGGGATTTTTTTGTTTGTTTGGTTTGGCTTGGTTTTTTGGCTACACCCTTGAGGGGGGACCACACACTACTCCAGCTCCTGCTTATCAATCATTCCTGACTGAGATCAGGTCACCATGCAGTGCTCTATATAGAACCCAGGTCTCTTGCCTGCAAAGCAGGCACTCAGCCTCTTCCTCTATCTCTCTGGCTCCTATTGTAGAATTCTGTATCAAAGTTTCACCCCTGGAAGGGATCCTTAAGAGATCATCTACTCCAGCTTTTCTAGTTCAGTAAACTGAAACCCAGAAAGGTTAAGTGACTTAAACATACTTACATACTGAGTTTAGCACCATCAGAGACAAACCAGAGCTGGATAATAAATAGTAAAAACAGTTTCATTCATAAAAGCTATTGCAGTACTGAGAAAGAGAACTTTATATACAACTGGACATAATACCAAATTCAGTTAGGAAAAGTGAGAATTTATAGCCAAGAAAAGGGTAGGGGAGAGCGTGGGGTATCTGTCAGTGAATGGAAAATTACAATTGCATTTAAGGATAAAGAGAGAATTTCTGGCTAAACTGACTTCACAGGTTACTTGGAAAAAATGGAGAATTTTAATGCCCCAAGATTAGGGTGAGTTGAAGAGAATTCAGAGGAACCAGAGTCAAGTTTGGTTTAGGAGCAACCCTTGGTTATCACTACTAACTTGGAACCCCAGATCTACCTCATTTTTATTACTCCATCCCTCTTAATAGAACTTTTAGGTTGTAGGGCTCTTATTGACAGGAAATTACATGCCTTTTATTTTTTTTAGTCCTTGTATTTTTGTAACGGTGCTTTACAGAGAGGAGGGAATTTTTTTTTTCCACATGGAGATTAACCCAGGGGCCTTGTCACGCAAGCTCATTGAGTGTCTGCTTATCCGGGCTGCCAATGGAAGAGGATGCAACAAAAGATGAAAACCCTGTAATAGCTTATTTTGGTTCCATAGCTTATAGTGACTTGTTTTCTTGTTGGGTTTTGGGACAAGTTTTGGTTTTGGTTTGGGGCCATATCCAGCAGTGTAGTGATGGCGACTTCTTCTGGGAGTGAGGGCTGCTTCTCTTTCTGCACTGGGGTTGAGTTGGAACAGGAGCCTCCCACATGCAGAGCACATACTTAGCCCAGTGCACTGTTTCTCCACTCTTAGGGTTTTTCTTACTGCTCACTACAAAAAAAGCAGCTTGTAAGAATTGCACTTTGCTTTTGTCTGTATTATGGCAGAAAATAGAAAAGTCTTAATTTTGCAAATCAAACTTGGAAAAAAATTTTTTAAATTTTATTGAATCACTGTGAGATAGTTACAAGCTTTCATGTTTGGGTTACAATCACACAATGATCAAACACCCACCCCTCCAACAGTACACATTCCCTACCACCAGTATCCCCAGTACACCCCACCCCCCACTACCACCCTCCTCCATGGCAGACAATATTCCCCATATCTCTCTCTCTCTCCTCTCTCTCTCTTTCTCTTTCTCTCTCTCTCTCTCTCTCTCTCTCTCTCTCTCTCTCTCTCTCTCTCTACTTTTGGGCATTATGGTTTGCAATACAGACACTGAGAGATCATCAAGTTTGGTCCATTATCTATTTTCAGCGCACATCTCCCTCCCATCCTGACCGATTCCTCCAGCCATCATTTTCTTAGTGATCTCTTCTCTATTCCAGCTGCCTTCTCTTTGCTCATGAGGCAGGCTTCCATCTATGGAGCAATCCTCCTGGCCCCTGTATCTATTGTCTTTGGGTGTCACCCTCATGTTATATTATTCTGTACTCCACAGATGATTGCAGTTCTTCTATGTCTGTCCCTCTCTTTCTGACTCATTTCACTTAGCATGATAAAATTTGGGAAATGTTTTAACTAGCCAGAATGCACAGTAAAAATTAAAAGGTTATTTTTAGATTAACTTATTGGACATTTTATAGCTTTTACAAGTGTCAAATATGTATATTTTAACTATTTAACATTAATAGAGCTCTATTTCTTAGACTACATGTGACTTAATTTGATAATTTATTGTTCTGCAGAAATTGGTTGAAAAGATAACATGATTTCTAGATTCATTTTAATTTTTTTAATTATTTTTTTTCCTTGTTTCCACCAGTTGTGCTTCTAAGCTCTGACACTATGCCCAGGGATCACTTATGGTTGGGTGGGTGGGGCATATGGGTGCCAGGAATTGAACCTGGGCTGTTGTATCTCCTGGGCTATCTCTGACTAAAGAGATTTATAGATGTGAGAATCTGTGAAACTTTTATTGGAAACACTCTCTAGTAATTAATTGGGTTATATTTGTGGGCTTGCTCTTTTAGTCCCTCTACCCAGACAGCAGAGCCCATGAATGAAAATTTCTCTCCCAGAGTTGCATGATATTAACAGGACAGTCT